AAGATCCGAGAACGGTTTTACTGGGTCCACTGTCGAAACGATGTCGAGGACTGGTGTCGCAAATGTACAAGTTGTGCGGCTGTAAAGGGACCACAGACTCGTAGTAGAGGTGCATTGAAGTTGTACAATGTTGGTGCACCATGGGAGAGAATAGCCATTGACGTGGCGGGGCCGTTTCCGGAGAGTGAAAGCGGTAACAGGTATTTCATGGTTGTGATGGATTACTTCACTAAGTGGCCAGAAGTCTTCGCCATTCCAAATCAAGAAGCTTCAACAGTTGCTGATAAGCTAGTTCATGAAGTCTTCTGTCGTTTTGGTGTACCTTTAGAGATTCACAGCGATCAAGGAAGGAATTTTGAGTCTCAAATATTCCAGGAAACTTGCCGAGTTATGGGTACTCATAAAACAAGAACGACATCTTATCACCCGCAATCTGATGGAATGGTAGAACGATTTAATCAGACATTGGAGAGGTACCTAGCAAAAGTTGTAGACAATCGGCAACGAGATTGGGACAAGCACATACAACCGTTTTTGTTGTCATATCGAAGCGCTGTTCACGAAAGTACAGCAGTGACACCAGCTTTCGCAAACTTTGGAAGAGAATTACGGCTGCCTGCAGACCTGATCACCGGGATACCACCTGATGCTCCACGCAGTATAACCGATTATGCAAATGACTTGCGGAACAAAATGAATGACGTTTATGAGCACGTCAGACAATCGGGCCAGCAAATGTCTGAAAAGATGAAAACCCGGTATGACCACAAAATGAACAACAAAGGGTTCGACGAAGGTTCACTTGTGTGGTTGCACAATCCAGTCCGCAGCAAAGGGAAATCTCCTAAGCTTCAAGCTAAATGGGACGGCCCGTACCGGATTGTGACCAGGATCAACGATGTAACCTACCGGATACAGAAAGGCGCAAGAGGGACTCCTAAGATCGTCCATGTGGATCGCCTAGCGCGTTATTATGGGACCGATAATGCTCGGGACGAGCATGTCTTAGGAGGGGGCAGTGTTACGCGCTAAAATCGGCGCACTAGCGCCATCTAGTCTCGAACCGAAGAACTAAACTTCTTGAAGTTTAAAACTCGAACTCTCGGTACCTTGCGCGTGTTTACTTGAACATTCTGGATATTTTGCTAATTTATATAAGTAGGCGCTGCAAGATGCGATCGGGCAGAGTTGAACTCGGCGACACAAGCGAAGCTTCGGAGCGGAATTAAGTGAATTAGTGTGTTTAATTATTAGTGTTTTAAGTTTTAATTTGTGTAAAGTAAATTAAAGTGTTAATTTAGGTAATTTTATCGGCAACTTTTATTGTCACGAACCTCAAGCTCGTAACAGTACCAAGATCATCACATGAGTAGTAACTAGTACCTAATGTCAAAAATTTGGTTGTCAGAATGCGTTTTACGTGCGAGCGTATACGTATACAAATATGAATGGTATTATACCCTTAGACTATTTACCTAACCCAAGGCGATTAGGCCTAAGATTTTTAATCTAAGGCGATTAGCAGAATACCTCTCCACAGTGAAGAGGTTCAGTCGCCAACTTCCATACCACGTTGAATACACCGGTTCTCGTCTGATCACCGAAGTTAAGCATCGTCGGGCGCGGTCAAATTCTTGATTACATGCATCTGTTGCTAAACGCAACGCTCTAATCATTTGAGGATAACACTAATGGATAGATAATTAAAAAATCTATATTCTCCATGTTTTATTTAAATTTTTAAGTTCGTTTTTTCTCTTTTAATTGAAATAATTCCGAAAATTGTGTGACTTCTATGATAAAGGGGCGTGCGCAGAGTGCGGGCCGGGCGGCATTACGCTGTATGCGTTCATACGGGGTAGCCGCGTCGCTGGTCGCCGCGTCCGTATTTCGCCGCAAACATAATATTATTTGAGTACCTACCAACCGATGCGCTTACGTCACGGTATATTGTAACTCGGCCGTATCTTAGAAATAAATCTTACAGCCGTGCGGTACGTAAACATGCGATAGGGATGCCTGCCTCCAGAATTTTTACATTTGCCCATTGATTTATGTGTTATAAAACACTCAATGCATTTTCCTACTTTGTGTTTCTATTTAGTTTTATGATTGTACTTAAATATACTTTTTTATATAAACAAATATATAATAGGTACTTTGTGAATTGAATAGGAAGTGTTCAATAAAAATGCGTGTCGTTTTATGATTGGTAGATTTAATTAAAAAACCATGTTTATGTTTCAATAACAAATCGGTCTTATAAATTTGCGGCCGAAAAATATTTGCGCCTCGGCTGAGACGTACGAAATGCTTTATTATTAAAATTTTAAATATAAAAAATCCGCATTATAATATAAATTAAAAATTGTTTTGGGAAACATGGACAAGTTATAGATACCTGCAGCTACTTTACAATTTATATGTTTGGTTTTAAATGAAGTTTGGATTTATTATTTTTTTATTTCTATTTTATTTTCTGAAAGGGTCCTAGGAAAGGAATTATCACTGCGTGTTGGCGAACTTTGCATGTCTTCGAAATATTTTTTTTCTCATTTCTCAGACATGCAGGTTTCCTCACAATGTTTTCCTTCACCACTGAGCACGGGGTAAATCAACACTTAAAATTGCAATTACAATATTATTGGTGCCGGCGGGGATCGAACCCGGTTTGCTCGCACACTGTGAAAATTTTAGCAAGCGCTAACCATCTGAGCTACCACGGCTCCTCTCCTCTCGAGCTAGCGACATTATTTTATTTATCGTCAGGCCTGTTGGTCTAGTTGTTAGTGACCCTGACTGCTATGCCGCAGGTCGTGTCTGGGTGTAATTTATCTATAATATTTATGTATTTAGAAATATATAAGTATGTTTATCAGTTGTTTAGTACCCATAACACAAGCTCTGCTTAGCTTGGGACTAGATGGCGTTGTGTGATATTTGTGGAATATTATTATTATTATTATATTATTATTGTTGGGGTATCTGTATAGTTTTCTCATCTGGTTGGTTTTTATAAATATAAATTAAAATGAAAAGATAAATATGCATAAATATCAATAAAATAAAATAAATACAAAAAATATACTTACAAATAAATAAAGATCCAACCATATTAAATAAAAAATAGTCTCCTATCTTTCTCTCTATGTTTTAATCTCCTAAAACGAGTTTGAGTTGGTAAAATCAAGGCAAACTCAGGGCAGGGTTGTCAATTATTATTTTAATAATAAAGCTAGTGAAATTCCGCGGTTTTATATGCGCAAGCGTGAACGTAGTTAGAACATAATATAACCTTTATGTTTTACACAAATATCCTAAAAACTTATTATTTTAATATTTTACTAAGTACCTATAAAATTAACAAGTTTATTGCATTTTTATTTGAGTAATTTTTTATGCAATTTCTTTATCTACGTCTATTTTAAGGAACCTTTATTTAGTCTGAATCATACATAACACTATATTACTGATTTACTTACTTATACGTAGTTTTCTTTTTTTGCAGTTACTAATATCTTGTGAGGTTGAAAAAGGCAGTAATGAAAAAATAATAAGAATAATAATAATTGACGTCAGCCACTTCTTTTCATAAAAATTTCAGATCATGGTCCATTACGTTGCAGCTTCACCGAACCACAACTTATAATAATAATAAATTATTTTGTATTTATTTTATTTTATTAATATTTATGCATATTTATCTTTTCATTTTAATTTATAATTTTTATATATTTAAATATTTATATAACCGAATCAGATGAGAAAATTATACGGCTCCAACGATTTTAGCGACGAACGCTTGGATTTATTTTTAGAAAATGTCCTTTTGTCCATGTTTTCAAGCAATAAAAAAACTGCTACAATATAAGAAGGTAAATTTCGACAAAGCTTTAACGGTCGTTATAGCTCAGGTGGTACGTCGGTCGGGCGTGATATCGGAGTTCCGTGGTTCGCGTCTTGGCTTTGGTCCCGCTTTTTTTCTTTTTTTTTCAAGTTCCTTTCTTTTTGTGAGAAAATCTATTATTTCAAACCCTTTTTTTTAGTAATTTTTAAAAATACGAAAATTTTAATTTTAAAAATTTAAAAAAAAATATCTATTTAGTTACTAATGCTTTATTTATTATTTTATTAATTACCTACCCAGTAGGTAAATATTAAAACAATAAATGTAGTAAACAGTAAATCTCCCTCAAACTCAATTTACTAATATTGTTTCTAAATAAGGAATAGCCAGATATAAGATTAGTATGTAATAACTATTGCTCATCAAAATTATATTTGACCTCAAGGTAAAACATATCCTAAAATTCAGTAGCTAAATAAAATAATAATACCTACTATTCAAGTATATTTTCAATATGTAAGTAAATGAAAATAACAAAAATGAAGCACCATTAGCATGTAAAGTTCGAATCCATAATTAATATTTCGACAAATATTATAATTTACACTATAAAAAGCTAATTCAATATTAGCAGTATAGTATATAGTTAAAAATAATCAAAATAGTCATTTTTATTAATTAGATAATATATTAGAATACATAATTCTAATATAATGCAACTAATATACCGAATAAAGAAACTTAAAATACATTTATCATTTTACGCCGTGTCTATTTCCATTGAATAGTTTATTGACATTGAAAAAATAATACTACGTTCATAGCAGTAGGTGGCGTCTTTTGGCGATTTCTTACGCGATATATTGTAGTGAGCTTAGACAGACCAAACGCTCAAGGTCGTTCGCTGGAGGTAGCGCCTCTGATGAAATTGAATGTTAAACTTTCAGAATAGGTATGGTCGGCGCCATTCTCATTATTGGATATAATAATTATGATCATCACCAAAAACGTAAATATGATGAATGACTGACAACGAGGTATAATGAGCAACGGGCTTCGATCGAATAGATCGGGTCTGGTGGTTCGGTGTGGGTTCGACGGGAAATTACGAGTTTTTCTCGGTGATCTTTACGATGACGCTCTTCACCTCGGTTTAATTGCGTATACCGTAGGGTCCGTTCTCGCGGCCGATGCCGTACTGCTTGTAGCCGCCGAACGGCACTTGGTTGCCGAAAACGTTGTAGTCGTTCATCCAAACGGTGCCGGCGCGCAGGCCCTGTTCGACAGAGAAACGCTCAAATTCTGTAAACATTCATCACTCAACAACAATCAACTACTATAATTACTAATTAGTAATTAGTAAGTATATCTACTATACGTATTATAACAAAGTAGGTAGCTACCTGGATGAGATAGTTAGCCTTGTACAAGTCGCCGGTGAAGAGGGCGGCGGCGAGGCCCTAGTACGTGTCGTTGGCGCGCTCCAGCAGCTCGTCGATCTGCGAGAACTTCATGATCTGCTGCACCGGGCCGAAGATCTCTCGGCGCGCGATGTCCATGTGGTCGCGCACGTCGCAGAATACGGTCGGCTGAACGAAGTAGCCCACGTAGCCCGCGCGCTCGCCACCCGCCATCAGCCGCGCGCCCTGCCGCTTGCCGCTCTCGATAGGGCGCAGCACCTGGGCGCACTGCTCGCCGTCCACTGTGGGCCCCGCTCGGCGCGGACAGAACGGAACGGACCGGACTCTGCCGGCGCGGCGCTGCGCTGCTACCTCGCTCCTCGCTAGTGCTTCACCGTCGCCGCTCACCGCACGCTCCTCCGCACGTTCATCGCACCGCACCGCACCGCACCGCTCGGATTGTACTTACTCTACTCTACTCTGCTCGAATCGATGTCGTCGTGTCGCCTGATCTTCTGTTTACCTTTTACCACCTTCCACTTCCACCTGACTAATAATACGTTTTTCAATCATACGTGAATCGTACGTTTGAAATGATATATTAATCTCTCCTACTTACTTACGAGCCAATTCAACGTACGTAGGTCAGTTGAACGCAGTATGTCTTGTTCCCAAATTACAGCTTCACGTTCGCCAATGTCCATACCACGTTGAATACACCTGTTGTCGTCCGATCACCGAAGTTAAGCAACGTCGGGCGCGGTCAGTACTTGGATGGGTGACCGCCTGGGAACACCGCGTGATGTTGGCTTTTTGCTATTTTCATTGATTATTCTATTTTATTATTTTTAATTTTTTTACTAGGTAAGTATCCCTTCTGACTGGGCACATAGCACATAAATACAGAGTAACAGTTTAATATAAATAAATACGTAAACATTTTTTTAATTCCATACATCATCACATTATACACATATTAAATCAATCATACCTACATAAGAGACTCAAGCCTATATCAATCTATCCATTAGATCCTTGGCGTGCTGTATTGGCTTGATTGCTTTTCAGACACACCGTTTTTAAATATTAGCTATGATATCAATTACTTGTTAATAATTACGAGTAGGTACCTATGTTGTAGAATTGTTCCTAGGTAAATACATATAATATGTACATAACGCATCCAGTACTTTAATAGTACCTAGATCATCAAAGGAGTAGTACCTAGTAATGTCAAAAATTTGGTTGTCAGAATGCGTTTTACGTGCGAGCGTACGAGTACGTATGGTATACCCTTAGACCATTTACCTAACCCTAGGCAATCGCCTAAGATTGATAACCTAAGGCGATTAGCAGAATACCTCTCCACAGTGAAGAAGTTCAGTCGCCAACGTCCATACCACGTTGAATACACCGGTTCTCGTCCGATCACCGAAGTTAAGCAACGTCGGGCGCGGTCAGTACTTGGATGGGTGACCGCCTGGGAACACCGCGTGATGTTGGCTTTTTGCATAATCTCCTTATTCCCACGCTTGTTTTTAGTTTTGCCTTATGGTTTATTCTAAATAAAATATTACTAAACTTACTCGTCGATCGTCGTCGTTTATTAAATATGCTAAGAGTCAGTTCGGAAAGAGCGCCGTCGCGCCGAGGTGGAGGATTATGTAAAGTGGCATATAAAAGAAATTGAAATTATTCTATAAAAACACAGCACAGCATATTTACCTAGGTTAATTTAATTTACAGTATCGTAGTCTTACCTTCTTCACACAGTAGGTATTTTATATTATACCTAAGTGCATGCGTCAAATTAGCACATAGTCCACCGTGTCGTTCCACGGTTATGAATCAAAATGCAGATTGCTTGAGGATTGAAGACCAATACAGCGACGGTAGCGTTATTATGCTTTTATACGCTGGTGTTCTTTCTGTAAGATCGTAGCGTGGCCCTTTCCCGGAGGAGCCGACCAATTCTTGTTGCATTCTCAACAATACAACTGCGACGTGGCTCTACATTTCTCTATCTGGCCTGTGGCTCTACCGTAACACATCATTGTATGTGATTACTTAATTAAAAGATTACACAACGAAAACGCTACTAAAGACATATCAGCGACCTCAAGTCCCGTCTCGTCGATTCTTTATGCCTTAGATTCCAGCAAAAGAACCGTCTAAGCCTTTTTTCTACTAACCTTCTATTATTTCAGGAGGCTTAAGTGCCAATGTGGCGGCACCTAACGGAAGTTTTACAAAAACTTTGTTAGATTCTACGTATGCCAATAATATAATGTAGATGGCGTTGAAGTTTTGATTAACAAATAAAAACCGAAAATTTATTATTTTTAAATTTATATAGGTACGTAAAGCAAATATTATTTTCATTGTGATTTATTTTCCATCATTTTCAAGCGATTCAATTTATTTTCTATCTAATAATTGCCGAAGAAAACATTACACAGATTTTATAGTATTTTATAGTGTAGGAACGTGCTGAAAGCCAAGGCTCGACTTCAAGTGTGTATAGGTTTAAAGTTAAAAATTAAAGAATAGAAATTTTAAGAATAAAATATAATATTTATTTGTGTACAGTTTTCATATTCCTTGAGCTTAACCCTAACAAATAGTATTAGGCTTATTCTAAAATGGATGACTATTATTTTAATTATTTCGTGTTTGTGCTGTGTATCGTTTGTGCGGGCTTAATAAACTCTGATGAAATTGAATGTTAAACTTTCAGAATAGGTATGGTCGGCGCCATTCTCATTATTGGATATAATAATTATGATCATCACCAAAAACGTAAATATGATGAATGACTGACAACGAGGTATAATGAGCAACGGGCTTCGATCGAATAGATCGGGTCTGGTGGTTCGGTGTGGGTTCGACGGGAAATTACGAGTTTTTCTCGGTGATCTTTACGATGACGCTCTTCACCTCGGTTTAATTGCGTATACCGTAGGGTCCGTTCTCGCGGCCGATGCCGTACTGCTTGTAGCCGCCGAACGGCACTTGGTTGCCGAAAACGTTGTAGTCGTTCACCCAAACGGTGCCGGCGCGCAGGCCCTGTTCGACAGAGAAACGCTCAAATTCTGTAAACATTCATCACTCAACAACAGTCAACTACTATAATTACCAATTAGTAATTAGTAAGTATATCTACTATACGTATTATAATAATATAATTAAAAGATAGAGAGAGGTAGGTAGGTACCTGGATGAGATAGTTGGCCTTGTCCAAGTCGCCGGTGAAGAGGGCGGCGGCGAGGCCGTAGTACGTGTCGTTGGCGCGCTCCAGCAGCTCGTCGATCTGCGAGAACTTCATGATCTGCTGCACCGGACCGAAGGTCTCTAGGCGCGCGATGTCCATGTGGTCGCGCACGTCGCAGAATACGGTCGGCTGCACGAAGTAGCCCACGTGGCCCGCGCGCTCGCCACCCGCCATCAGCCGCGCGCCTTGCCGCTTGCCGCTCTCGATAGGGCGCAGCACCTGGGCGCGCTGCTCGCCGTCCACTGTGGGCCACGCTCGGCGCGGACAGAACGGAACGGACCGGACTGCCGGTGCGGCGCTGCGCAGCTACCTCGCTCCTCGCTAGTGCTTCACCGTCGCCGCTCACCGCACGCTCCTCCGCACGTTGATCGCACCGCACCGACCGCTCGGATTGTACTTACTCTACTCTACTCTGCTCGAATCGATGTCGTCGTGTCGCCTGATCTTCTGTTTACCTTTTACCACCTTCCACTTCCACCTGACTAATAATACGTTTTTCAATCATACGTGAATCGTACGTTTGAAATGATATATTAATCTCTCCTACTTACTTACGAGCCAATTCAACGTACGTAGGTCAGTTGAACGCAGTATGTGTTGTTCCCCAATTACAACTTCATGTTCGCCAACGTCCATACCACGTTGAATACACCGGTTCTCGTCCGATCACCGAAGTTAAGCAACGTCGGGCGCGGTCAGTACTTGGATGGGTGACCGCCTGGGAACACCGCGTGATGTTGGCTTTTTGCTATTTTTTCATTGATTATTCTATTTTATTATTTTTTTTACTAGGTAAGTATCCCTTCTGACTGGGCACGTAGCACATAAACACAGAGTAACAGTTTAATATAAATAAATACGTAAACATTGTTTTCATTCCATACATCATCACATTATCATCATCATTCATCATTACAGCCCTTCACAAGTCCACTGCTGAACATAGGCCTCCCCCAAGTAATGCCACAAAGCACGGTCCTGAGCCACCTGCATCCATCGACTTCCTGCATGTCTTACCAGGTCGTCACTCCATCTAGTGGGGGGTCGCCCTACACTACGCCTACCGGTACGAGGCTGCCACTCGAGAACCTTTCTTCCCCATCGGTTATCGGTTCTTCGAGCTATATGGCCGGCCCATTGCCACTTCAGCTTACTAATCCGTTGGGCTATGTCGGTCACTCTGGTTTTACTGCGGATATCCTCATTTCTGAGTCTATCACGCAGAGAAACTCCGAGCATAGCCCTCTCCATAGCTCGCTGAGCGACCTTAAGCGTCCTCATACGGCCAGCAGTGAAGGACCACGTCTCAGATCCGTAAGTCATCACTGGCAACACGCACTGGTTGTACAATCTAGTTTTTAGAGATTGAGGTATACCTGACGAAAAGATATGCCGTAATTTCCCGAACGCTGCCCAGCCGAGTTGAATCCGTCGATTGACCTCTCGGTCGAAGTTGGACTTACTAGTCGGACTATTTGTCCCAGGTAAACGTATTCGTCAACAACTTCGAGCATAGTGCTCCCATCAACTACCGGCATAGGTGTGACATGGACATTGAACATGATCTTTGTTTTGTCCATGTTCATCTTAAGACCTATCCGTTGGGAGGCACTATTGAGGTCATTGAGCATAGTGCTTAAGTCCTCCAACGATTCTGCCATAAGGACTATATCGTCGGCAAATCGAAGGTGAGTGATGTACTCGCCATTGATGTCAATACCGTATCCTTTCCAGTCCAGTAGCTTGAAAACGTCTTCCTATGCAGCGGTGAAGAGTTTCGGGGATATAACGTCACCCTGTCTTACACCTCTCTGCAGTTGGATAGGTTTCGAGCTCTGGTTCTGTACTCGGATAGCCATCGTAGCCCTACTGTACAAACACTTCAGCACTTCGATATACCGACAGTCAACTTGGCACCGCTGAAGGGACTGTAGCACCGCCCAAATTTCGACGGAATCAAAGGCTTTCTCATAGTCCACATACGCCAGGCAAAGTGGCAGATTGTACTCTTCAGTCTTCTGTACAATCTGCCGCAGGGTATGTATGTGGTCTATGGTACTGAAGCCTTTTCGGAAACCGGCTTGTTCGGGAGGCTGGAAGTCGTCAAGTCTGCGTGCGAGACGATTCGTAATGACTCTCGAAAACAGCACGTAGACGCGGCTCAGAAGGAAAATCGGTCTGTAGTTCTTTAAGAGAGCGTTGTCGCCTTACTTAAAGACCAAGCCCACCGCAATTCTGCTCCACGCCTCTGGAGTAGTGCCACCATGGAGGACGGAATTGAAGAGCTTCTGAAGGACTTCAAGTACCGGTGTTCCACCCGCTTTCAGAAGCTCCGCTGTAATTCCATCCTCGCCTGGGGCCCTGCCGTTTTTAAGGTGCTGGAGAGCCATTCTAATCTCGCTTAGACTGACGTCCGGGATATCATCGGAATAGTGTCGGATAAGACTTGCTCTTGGATCGTTACTCACACTTGCGTGTGGCTCCAACGATGATGTGTACAGCTGCCCATAGAACCTCTCAATCTCACTCAAAATCTCAGGTGTCCCGGAAACGATGTTGCCACACTCAGTCTTCAGCCTTGACAGTTGGCTCTTTCTGGCAGACAGATCTCTGGCAAAGACTTTGGAGCCCTGGTTCCGCTCAATCGCTTCTTTAATACGAGAAGTATTAAAGTTGCGTAAGTCTCGCCGTATGCATTTGGAGATCTGTCTGTTCAGTTGCCTGTATGCTGTCAAATCTGTTGACGATTGCAGCCTCATCTCCCGTCTAACAGCCATGAGATTAAGAGTGTGATCGGAGAGTTTTTGTGTTCTTCTGCGGCGGGTCTTGCAGAACTTAGCTCCGACCGCATGGACAGTTTCCACGAGCTTGTCGTTCATATCGTCCACTGCATTGCAATCTTCTAGGCACTGGAAGCGATTACGTAACTCGAGCTGAAAGGTTTCGGGATTCTGGATTAGAGCACGAGGGGGACGGAGCGTTGACTTCATTAGACGAGACCTCTCCAACTTAACGTTTAGGTTCAGTGTGCCTCTAACCATTCGGTGATCGCTGCCAGTTTTCACCCTTGCGATCACTGAGACATCACTGAACAGTTGGCGTCTGGTCGTCATAATGAAGTCAATCTCATTTTTTGTCGAACCGTCGGGGCTCGACCAGGTCCACTTCCTGTGGGGCCGCTTCTGGAAGAAAGAGTTCATCATAAAGAGTTCCTCTTTCTCCATAAAGTCGGCCAGCTGCTGGCCCCTTCGGTTCCGTTGCCCTACTCCAAATTTCCCTACCTTCAGCTCACCGCTTTCTCTTGTGCCCAGTTTTGCGTTGAAGTCTCCCATCAACACCGTGTAGTAGGTTTTGGAGGAATGTATGGCTCTGGAAATATCCTCATGCATTTCCTCCACCTCCTCATCGGGATGTGCCGAGGTTGGTGCGTAAACCTGAATGACCTTCAGCGAATACCGTTTGGTGATTCTGAGTATCAGGTACGCGACCCTCGTCGACACACTCCCAATCTTTACAACGTTGTTGACGAGAGATTTGTGGACGATAAATCCGACACCTCCTTGGGACAGATGGTCGCCCTCCCGGTGATAGAACAAGTTGCCGGACTCGAGGATTGCCGTGTCCTCCCCCTCTCTTCGGACCTCGGATAATCCAATAATATGCCAGCGCAACTTGTCTACCTCTTCTTCCAGCTCCAGTATCTTCTCGTCAGTCCTCAGGGTGCGTGCGTTATATGTTGCCAGGTCGAGTCGTCGTAGGTGGCAACCGAACCTCCACCGGAGATTCTTAGCACCCCCTGCCCCGCCGTTACCATGGTCGCCACCGTAGCCAGGAATAGCGGGGCCGCCGGGGACTGGGGGCCGTCTGTTTGTGTATTTATTCATTGGGGGGTATTTGCCATAGTTGCCACGCTTTGCGAGCGGGTTGGCAACCGCAGTTTTTTTTACGTCACAGTTGTCATCAGGAAGACGCTGCTGCCCATCTCCTGCCTGTCTCCCTCTGTCGCCTCTTACGACACCCACGGGAAGATATGGGGTAGTGGATATTCTTAACCGCCACTACACGGCATCATCACATTATACACATATTAAATCAATCATACCTACATAAGAGACTCAAGCCTATATCTATCTATCCATTAGATCCTTGGCGTGCTGTATTGGCTTGATTGCTTTTCAGACACACCGTTTTTAAATATTAGCTATGATATCAATTACTTGTTAATAATTACGAGTAGGTACCTATGTTGTAGAATTGTTCCTAGGTAAATACATATAATATGTACATAACGCATCCAGTGCTTTAATAGTACCTAGATCATCAAAGGAGTAGTACCTAGTAATGTCAAAAATTTGGTTGTCAGAATGCGTTTTACGTGCGAGCGTACGAGTACGTATGGTATACCCTTAGACCATTTACCTAACCCTAGACAATCGCCTAAGATTGATAACCTAAGGCGATTAGCAGAATACCTCTCCACAGTGAAGAAGCTCAGTCGCCAACGTCCATACCACGTTGAATACACCGGTTCTCGTCCGATCACCGAAGTTAAGCAACGTCGGGCGCGGTCAGTACTTGGATGGGTGACCGCCTGGGAACACCGCGTGATGTTGGCTTTTTGCATAATCTCCTTATTCCCACGCTTGTTTTTAGTTTTGCCTTATGGTTTATTCTAAATAAAATATTACTAAACTTACTCGTCGATCGTCGTCGTTTATTAAATATGCTAAGAGTCAGTTCGGAAAGAGCGCCGTCGCGCCGAGGTGGAGGATTATCTAAAGTGGCATATAAAAGAAATTGAAATTATTCTATAAAAACACAGCACAGCATATTTACCTAGGTTAATTTAATTTACAGTATCGTAGTTGGTGGAGCCACGTGTTTAAGGCTGCCGAAAATCTAGTTCCCCGGTCAAACCTCAAACCTATTACGCGAGATATTAACTAAAGTGGACTGTATATGCGATTGCTTCTACGCTTACGTAAAGCGACTACTATAGTATGCGGTACAATGCACTCGCTCTTCCCTAAACTAAACTATTACTTGTCGAATCGATGAAAGGAATCCTGCTTGACTAGGAAAAAAACACAGATTGGAGCGGGTTAAACTATTAGCAAGCAGGTATAATTAAGGAATATTGACTCACCGGGGTTTCTTCTTCCTGTCGATCACTA